CGAGAATTTTTCTCTTCTGAGTTATTTGTTGCTCTTTTTTATTCAGTTGCCTTTTGGGTTTGATACGTTGTAGTGATTTTAATTCATTAACTCTATTTGATTTAGGTTAACTGATTTTATTATGTATTTGTTGTCGTATTCGATTATGGGATTTCCTTGTGGTTTAGCATGGATCTTTCCAAATCTATCCGGCACATTGTCTTTACGCGTCGTTTGGTGCTCAGTGATTGACCTTTGGTTTATTTGGGATTAAATCTAGTCGTTGGATCTGTAAGCTTGATCCAACGGCTCCTGTGATGCAGCGTCTACTCCATAATGTTGTTAGGGGTCAAGAACCCTAGTTCTCTTGTGATTTTGGCCGTTGGAATGTCTTTCTATTTAATGGCTCAGAAAAAGCAGCACTTGGCGTAAGTCCCTAAAACCCTATTATGCTTGGACAAAGACTCTTACCAATCATATGATGATTGTATGAACACATTTTATTTACTTATTTTATTGAATAAAAACATTGTCACTATTATTTTCAGTTATATATTTGTGTCTAACATAAACTGAAAGATAATAATATCTATATAATAATATGATTATTATTAAATATCCTTAGACGAATATTATTATGAGTATGAACAATAATAATATGTTTAAGAGTAATGTGTTATTAATTGATGACAATGAATTGTCATTGACATAGAGATGTCAGAACCGATGCATGAATGTGTTGTTAGAGAACGACATATTGGATTGACCCACTATGAGCATCTGTCTTGGATTATTATGTGATGGTCACAACATTACTCATGGTGATGACTATATGTATGATCCTCAAACTTGAGATCATTACTATCTCAACATATATTGTTATATGCTTTGATACAGTTAAACATGCTCCGTAATTGGTTGCACTATAAAGACTGATATTGAACATATCTCCATATATGTAGTAGGATGTGAATGATTAAGGCTTAGTTTGTTTTCACTGTGCAACATCTTCAAACCTCTTATGTTTGTGCCGCGCAGACCACGCGCAGACATTAGGCTTCGCAGACCGTTTGTTTTTTAGAAGACAGAAGCTCTTCTAACGTCTGCGCGAGCTCTTCTTGGTGCAGACATGGTTTTATGTCTTCAAAGGTCTTCAAACCTCTTCAAGAACAATTATAAAATATGGTTATTTATTAAAATAATTTTAAATAATTTAATAAGGTTATTTATTTTAAAATAATTTATTTTAAAATAATTTATTATAAAATAATTTATTATAAAATAATTTATTTTAAAATAAATTATTATAAAATATGGATTGATTTATTTTAAAATAATTTATTTTAAATAATTTATTATTATGGATTGATTTATTTTAAAATATAGATTGATTTATTTTAAATAATTTATTAGTATGGATTGATTTATTTTAAAATATGAATTGATTTATTTTAAATAATTTATTAGTATAGATTGATTTATTTTAAAATATGGATTGACTTATTATTGTAGTTGTATGGATTGATTTATTTTAAATAATTTATTAGTATGGATTGATTTATTTGAAAATATGGATTGATTTATTTTAAATAATTTATTAGTATGGATTGATTTATTTGAAAATATGGATTGATTTATTTTAAATAATTTATTAGTATGGATTGATTTATTTTAAAATATGAATTGATTTATTATTGTAGTTGTATGGATTGATTTATTTTAAATAATTTATTAGTATGGATTGATTTATTTTAAAATATGGATTGATTTATTTTAAATAATTTATTAGTATAGATTGATTTATTTTAAAATATGGATTGATTTATTTTAAATAATTTATTAGTATGGATTGATTTATTATTGCAGTTGTATGATTGATTTATTTTAAATAATTTATTAGTATATATTGATTTATTTTAAAATATGGATTGATTTATTATTGTAATTGTATGGATTAATTTATTTTAAATAATTTATTAGTATATATTGATTTATTTTAAAATATGGATTGATTTATTATTGTAGTTGTATGGATTGATTTATTTTAAATAATTTATTAGTATGAATTGGTTTATTTTAAAATATGGATTGATTTATTTTAAATAATTTATTATTGTAGTTGTATGGATTATTTAAATTTCTGTATTGTAAAACTAAAATTATTTAAATCTCAGTATTGCAAAACTCTTTTAAGTTTAAAAAATCAGTTTATTTATATTTCAGTTCATTTTAGCAGTCTGCAGACGTTAAAAAACAAACAATTATCTTCTTACAGACTGCAGACTGCAGACTTTTGGTCCACATCTTCTGCTGCATATGCCTGCAGATGTGGTCCACAGACTGCAGACATTTTACCTATGCAAAAACAAACACCACCTAAGAAAGGATTTGTCTTTCCTAAAAAATAGAAAATATATCACAGGCCACTTGATTGAGGGAGACTAGAATGCATGGCCATGCTCGAATAAGTTGATATGAGATATCACAAATTATTCATTAATTATAGTCTACTCTAGATATCAAGATATAATAAATTGGTCATACAAGTGTGACTATTCCAAGATTTGTGCATATTCTAGATATAAAGGACAAAAGGATGTAATAAATAAAAGAGTCTGTCACGAAGATGATATGTCGAGTCATGATTTCCTGTAACTTAGGTGACAATGATATATTGCTAGATGACATTCATTATTTGTAATATTAGAATGGTTCTAATAATTACTACGAATGTTACGAGAACCTACAGGGTCACACCCTAAGATTGAAATAAGCAAATATTAAATGGATTTTATTGTACAATATAATCAGAGTTAATATATGTATATTTGATGTACATATAATTTAATTATCACAAATAAAATAAGTGGACATTAAAATAATGTAATTCTAATTACAACTCTATATTTAATTAGGAATAATTAAATAATATTTTATTTAATTCAAAATAATTAAATTAGATTTTAATTAATTTGAAATTACAAACCCAAAAGGTTAGGGTAACGAGTGTATATAAAGCTAAGCAGGGGTCTAGCAGCCATGTGATTTTTTAGCCTTTTTCTCAAAACCGTTTTGGGAAAAAGTGAAAAATATTTGCTCTCAACCGGGTGAACTAAGTAGAGGCTAAGACGTTTCGTGGAAGCTTGTGATTTGAATCGTTCGTGATCACTATTATCGTTGTTGCAATCTTGTTGTTTTTCAAGGAACCCAATGTAAGTAATCGTATCCCTTTTCTCCCGTTTTCAGTTTTGTCGTACATGGATCGTTGGTGAAACCGTCGAGTTTATTTTCACTGTGCCATGAGGTACGTCGACGGTCCCAGCATTTGTTTGGTCAGGCAGTTGGGTCTTGATCTTAGGCCTTTTCCTTTGTATCGTTGCTAGATCTCAATTGGACCCTTGACACCAAAATCCCAATCTACTAGGTGAGGTAAATTGAGTTTGTCTTGGACCATTATCTATGTTGATTTTCTTTGTTTTGGATTTGGACTAGACTGGAACATTTTATTGGACCTAAAAAATAATAAATAAAAATAAAAAAGGTAAAGTATATAAATAGTCCCTAAACTTTTAGGGCGCTTACATTTTGATCACCTAAATTTTAAAACTTGTAATACACTCATCAAACTTTTAATTTGTTTTCATTCATGTCTCTACCGTTACATTTCATTAGTTTTTGCTAACGTGGTAGTTAACCATACGTTAACCTTTTTTTTATTGACATGAAAGTTAACCCTTCTTTTTCTTCTTCTTCCTCCTCCTAATAGCTCAACATCACAAAACTTTCACTTTCTTCTTAAACACTAAACCATCAATCAAATTTCCTAAAATTATTCAGAATGATCAAAGAACCAAATTAGATAAACTCCATTGATTAACAAGAGGAAAATCCCCATAGATAAAATCACTAAACCACCCCCATAGATTTCTGAGCCTCAACCACAATCTGTGAAATTCCTGCAAAACGAAATTAGCAATCTCAATAATCTAATACATGGATTAAATCATCGTTTTAAACAAAATTAAGAGTTCTGCTACACAGATTAGAAATATTTTTAAGACATATAGATACGTTTTTGGTTACTTTCAGTAACTTACAACACCTAAATCCCCATGAAAAATACTTGGCACAACCTATCATAGAATTCTTTTCCAAAAATCCATAATCACAATTCCACGTTCTCAAGAAGGAAGGGGGAAAACCCAAACATCAAAACTTCCCCTTAATAAGAACATCGATGAGACAAAGACAATATAGTATAGATTAGCTTTCATGGAGGTTGACATCAATAACCAGACAAACGAAAGAACTTGAAGCAGAACAAGAAGCACTCAACACTGAGGCTAAAGATGAAGATAAACAACCAGAAGACAACGTTTTGTCGTCTTCTATAATGTTCAAATAGATTAAACCTCTCATTGAGTACCCAGCAAAAACGAAAAAAAATTAGAAAGAAACGATAATTTTGAGGAAGTAAAGGGAAGGTTTTTGGCTTTTTTTTAGCAAAAGATATGAGTTATGAAAAAGAGGATATTTCATGATTGCATCATTACAGAGAATAGGTTTTCATGGTAAAGTCGCTAAAGAGCTAAGTTCAATATTGGCATTGCAAAAAAAAAAGGAGGTTTGGAGGTCATCAATACACACTGAATTGGTGAGAAAAAGAAGAAGAAGAATTGCCAAATCAGCAAAAATGAATGTTAACATACATGTCAGCAAAAACTAATGGAAGATAACGGCTGGGATAGAAATGAAAACGAACTATGACTGTATCGCAAGTTTCAAAAGTTGGGTAACCAAAATACAAGCACCTTAAAAGTTAGGAGACTATTTATATACTTTACCCTTAATAAAAATACAACGGAAATACATATAAATGTTCGTAATGGTTCCGTTGCCATGTTTGGAAGATACAACGGAAAACAATAGCGATAGCGAAAGATACATAAAGTGACTGCGGATGATCGAAAGAGGACTTTGCGAAGTAGTTAAGGACATAATAGAAAATCAAGAGTCTAGCAAAGAAATTAAGTTTACTCATCATACTGAGAAAGATAGATTACAGTGAATCTCAATTACACCTTTATACACACAACTTTACAATTAATCTAACCGCTCATCCAACTCCAGCTAACTAATAAACTACTTCTTTAGAGAAATTAACGTATAATGCATGAAAAGAATCTAACGAAGTAAAAAAAAAAAAAACCCTATTGGAGAAGATCTAAATAACCCACCAAAACCCTCCATCTTGATGACGCTTATATATATATTTCCTGCGCAAATAGTTTCCATACCGCGATCTCCTCGGCTGCCACAATCGTGTCGGTATGGTTAACAAAGCCGAAACGACGAAGGCAATTACGTAGCTAAACGTCGGTGCTATGGCCAGGATCGCATCCAAGTAGCATGAGAACAGAAACCCCAATGACAAGCCAAGGACGATAATAATAAAATCAGGAGCATCAGTTATGAGGAACTGAAATATCACCAGTGATGTTAGAAAAAAACACAGTGTGTTCAAAGTGTAAAAAATGAGGAAATATGTGGAACTCAACACAGATTTTCCCAGTGGATTGTCTTGCACGGTCAAGCCATCAAGGGGACTATTGGTTGTAGCATTAGTGGTAGATGTGGAATTCATAGGGCATGGGCCTGGCGAAATGCCACCAGGGGGATTGAGTGCGGCATTGTACGTGGCTGTTACCATTAGACCGGCTACCACTAATAAGGCGCTCCGAGTGCTGCTCGATAGGTTCCGGCGCTGCCGATCGGCGGACTTACTCGTTAATTCAGAAAGTGTGATCTTCGTTTGTAAGAACGCTGGTAACGTCGGGATGTCGGGGAGGTTGGCCGCGTTTAAACCTCCTGCGGTCTTTAGAATTTTTTGGGACTCTTGGTCGTTACCTTGACGTTGTAAGATATCCAAAGGTGTCATGTTATCTACATTTGTCAAGTTCTTTTCGACCGAACTATTCAACAGTAGTCTTATCATCTGTTCCAAAACAAACAAAAGATATATTTGATAAGTTAGCAAGTGATATGTGATCATTTTATAATTTTTAATAATCGAGTGACTTAATAAAATAATATTTTATAGTTATAATACTATTTATGTTTTACCCTAATTTTTTAGCTCTCTCTTAACTTTAAAACTTAATAAATTAAGTCTTGATAATTCGTAGGCTCAGTTACTTTTTATGTTCTCTTCGTATTGAAACTGGACAAATTAAACTTTGGTCCTTCAATTTTTGGAGTCAAATTACTTTTTAGGTACTCTTAATTTCGAAACTAAGCAAATTGAGCCACGATCCAGAATCTTTCTAGTTTGAATGCTTCTTAAATCTCTCTCATATTTTTATTAGTGGAAAGGTGGATTTATTTAGAATTTTTTAACTTATGACAATACATATACACCCTATAGAATAGTTGCTTGAATCCGAATTCTCTAAAAATAAATAACATTATTTTTATCACCGAGACCTGTCAATGATTTAAACCTCTACCGATTTTAAATTGAAAATAATAATAATTAATTAGATGGATGAGATTTTGCCTGGGGATGGTTATTGGTTGCAGCTACATGCAGAACCGTGTTGCCTCCATTGTCCTTTGCGTTAAGGACTTCATGCTGCCAAACATCGCCATCTTTGTAATTGTTCCTTCTAAGCCAATGGACCATTATTTTAAGACCTTCCATCATGTCCCCTGTTGCTGCAATATGTAGGGCAGTCTGTCCCCTGATGTTCGCGTCCACTATGCATTCAGGGCAAGCCACAAGGAATTCACTCAAAGCCTCCAGGTTGTTCGCCGCGACCGCCCGATGGAACGGCGTCATACCCTCACGGCCCTTGACACGGACCAGATCTTTATCAGCGGTCACAAGCAACCGCACCATCTGCACCCGATTGTGTTCCAAAGCGAGGTGCAAGGGACTCGAGCCGTACCGGTTTAGCTTCCTTGCGAATGATGGCTTTAGATTCATCATTTCCATGGCGAATTCAATGTTCCCGGTGGATGCTGCGATGTGTAGTGGAGTGTTTTCGAAAGGCAATTTGTCGTAGTGATTCAGAATTGTTGGATCTCGCCGGATTAACGCATACAATGCGTCGATATCGTCATCTTGAACGGCGTTTTCCATATAATTCCGTAGAGCTGTGTCGTCCGGAACATTCCTCGCAGCTGCTCGTTCCATGTAAGTCCCTAGAGCTATGTCTGCTATGTGATCCCTTCGAGCTGTGTTTTCCATAGGGGATGATTGGTGATGAAAGGAAAGGAACTGGTTCATACTATATAATAATTAAGATTGTTTACTCATTCCAAATTACAAATATTATTCGAACTTAAAAATTATGGAAAATTGTGAAAGTATTTAGAGGAAAACTCCCAGAACGAGTCAATTTATTCTTAATAAACTAAATAAAAAAATAACAAAAAATATGTTTAATTACATATTGGACAAGATCTAAATATTGGCAATATGGTAATAGTAAGGACGGGCCACTTGTGGGGTGGAAGTGCTGTGTGGGGGGATTCAATCTTACGAAAAAAAGAAAGATGAGTGAAGTGTGAATGTTTTAATATCGATTTTGTCACAAAAAACGGTTAGTGACAGGTGTCAATTAGCTTCCATCGGTGGTCGAAAAAGATAAGTGCAAAAATAAACGTTTAGTGATAAAATTAATACACCTTTAAAGTTTAATGCCTAAAATAGTGTCGTTTTAGGAATTAATAGTCGTATTAAAACGATATCGTTTTGTCTATGTCATCAACCATTTGGATTTTTATGGGTTAGTGGTATAACTGAAGTCAAAAATCAAAGTTTAGTGTTATAATTGAAACATTTGAAAGTTCAATGACACCAATAATACATCGCCTCAAGTTATGTGATATCTGATGTACTTTATTCTAAAATTATTATGGATAAACTACTTGAATGACCACCCAACTACACAATTTTCAAAATTTTATAAATATTATAAGTAAACAGTGCAGTTAGAATTTAGGACAATTTTCTTTATTCACCAAAAAAAATTTAACATTAATTTTTCTTTTTAATCAATTTTAAAGATAAATAAATTTACAATTTAATTATTTAAAATATAATTATAAAATTTATTTTGTTTAAATTTATAAAAAAATATTTTTTATTTTTATATTACATTATTTCTTCCATAAATTTTATTTTAAAATATAAAAAATATTGAATAACAAATTTACTTTTATTTGTTTTAAAAATTAAAATGATAAATTTACTTTTATTTGTTTTAAAAGGATAAAAGAATGAAAGTTAAATATCATTGAATATTTTTATTTTTTTTATTTTGATATCACTAATAATATTATGGGATAAATAAATGTATGTGTAATTATCAAACCAAATAGAGCAATTTAATGGTGACTTAATTTAACCACTTAAATTGTTCAGTGATTTTGAAAATGGTGGTCATTTTGATACCAACTCATAGTTGGATGGCCATTCCAGTAGTTTACCCAATTATTATTACTAATTTTATTTTGACTAAAGTGTTTCATTAAAAAACCCTCATTCTTACCTAAATTTATTTAGATTTTGGCATGAACCAACTAACTTCGATGTAAAATGAATTGTTGTTATTCTTCGAGATTACGGGTTTGAACACCATAAATACTAAGGATGTGAGCATTCAATGTCAAATGGTAAGCAGATATTGTCTTCTACTTTCTCGCTCTTCAATGATTTTAATTTATATATAATTTTGATACTGAAATAGATACAATTGGTTCATCAAGGTTACATATTTTTTTAATTAATTTGGGATAAGCATAAGACGATATTTATTTAAAGAAAACTCTTAACATTTCGACATAAATATTAGTTAATAAAATTTACCACGGAGGCCACTTTGTTCATAAATATTATATTTATTATTATAATATTAGTTTATATATTATTACAGTTTTGATACTAAAACATGAAATTCATCTATATATATATATATCATTTAAATGAAAAAAATGGATACAACTAGTTCATCAAAGTCGGATAGTAAACAAATATATTAGTCAATCGAAGCTTGAAGAAATCAAAATATTTTAATTAGTTTATAATGACATATAAACTAACATATATAAACTACTAATATTTTTGTTCACTATCTGACTTTGATATTGGACAAGTTGTAAAAGTCAAACAAATTAAAATATTCTTTAATGTCATTATAGTTTTGATACTAAAAAAATGGGATACAACTAGTTCATTAAAATCAGATAAATTGTAATACTAATTTATAAGTTAATTAAATCTTGTAAATAATATTCAAAATTTTAATTTTGATGAATGAAATAAATTGAATTGAAATTTTATATATTTAATAATTTATTCAGAGTAATTAATTAATAATGTACTTTTAATTATACCAAAAACTAAATAAATGTAATTTGTGTATTATGACCAAATATCGAGTAATCTCTAGACCCAGTCTAGGCGTTACGATCGAATCTAAGCGATAACATGTCGTATACATAAATCATTTTAGTTAAAATAATACATATAACGATAAAAATATGAAAATATACAACGATAAACATATACATATACTAACATCAGAAGTTTGTATGTCCATATCCAGAAACAAAATACTAGTAATACAAATACATAAGTAGTAGTAAAACACGTGTCACCCAACAGAAAAGACGTATAAAAATATATAGTGATACAAAACAGAGAATAGTTGATCGTCCTAATGCCAAGTCTACTAGCCTACTGTAGTGTAGTAACTGAAAAGTTAAAAATTAAAGAATGAGCTAAAAAGCCCAGTGTGCTCCTCGCGGTGTATAAAAACATACAAATAAAATATTTTGGTAAAAGTTACGTATAAAATAGGTTTTGAAAACACGAACACTGCCTCCATCCGAACACTAGAATGTGTAGGTTTCCCTGAACCATACACCCACTTGTACACCTTGTAACGACCTTATACTGATAGCATAAATGCATGAAGTCAAGACTTACCCTGTGCACAAAGCAGAAGAGCATGAGGTAAGGTCTTACAAGTTATAGACTAAGCATGAGACACTTCCTCCAATCATACCCCCAATGATAGTAAATGCACATGTATTTGAGTGAAAACAATAGTTTAATTGATTAAAACATTAAAATAAACCATTTACCAAAATCAGATACAGAGATACAGTTACCAGAGATCATATCAGAAGTATAAGATAAATCAGTTATCATGTAGTCAGAGTTTTAATAAAATAAAAAATTTAAAACAATCTAGACAAATATTTCAAAAACAACACTGTAACACTTTTGAAAATATTTTGATATTTCGATATAACAAATTAAGTTAAATGAATTTTAAGATTTTACAAAAGATTTTCTAAGTATATTCGATATAATTATTCGAATATCAAAATATTACTCCAAATCTTTCAAATGTCATTTTTAATCCTTACTCAAGTGTAAAATTAAGTTTTAATCTTAAAATAATCTCAAAAACAATTTTACAAAGTATTTCGAATCGTTTCAAAGCCAAAAATTCCAGATTGTCCAGAGAGAACCGATTCCCCCCTGAATGGTTTGGCTCCGAGAATAACAGATTACTCGGAGGGAACCAATTCCCCCCAAGGGGGTACCGATTCCCCCTTGTTCAACGGTCGAAATATTTGAATTTTACACTTAGAGAATCGATTCCCTATGAGGGGGTACCGATTCCCCCTACGCTCCAAGCTATTTTATTAATCATTTCTCATCCTCAAATGGCTCCAAAACATCCCCAACGGCTCCAAAACATCCCCAACGGCTATATACGACTTCAAACACATTCCAAGCTATAAATACAAGCTAAGGACACTTGAAGAAGTAAGAAAACAACCATCCAAGCAATCAAACACAAGAGAAGAGTTTTTCATTCTTATTTCATCTTTCTCTTGTAAATATTTTGTTCTTGTGAGCTTAATTCTTGTAAACACCTACCTTAGAGAGGTTTTCTTGTTTACATTTCTTATCCTTTTGTAAAGGGGAAATGTTATAGTTTAGCCCGGAAAAACTAGGGAGTTGCAAGGTTATCTCTTTGTCCTCAAAAGAAAGAACAAATTAGTGAATTTGTTGGAAAATCCTTGGTGAGGAGCTAAGGTAGTGGACGTAGACTTTGGTTGAGAAAGTCGAACCACTATAAATCACTGTGTAATTCTCTATCTTTCAATCTCCTTACTCCCTAAACACAAAACCGTTCCGACCCCCTCTTTGCAAACCGTTCTGGTTGTCGATTCGAGCTTTCGAAAATCCCAACAATTGGTAACAGAGCCTAACTCGTTAAGAAGGTTTAACCACCTTGAGATGATCCTCGAAGAAGCTCTATCAATTCTCGACGCAACCGACAAAGAAATGACTTTTTCCTTCGGTGCTTATTATCTTGAAGAATATCCTATTATGGATTCATAACCGGTCAACAAGCCACCATTCTTCAATGGAGCAAATTATGCACATTGGAAGAATAAGATGATGTACTTTATTCAATCATACAATCTAGGAGCTTGGAACTCAATCATGGACGGTTACTCATCTCCACTTGGCAAGTACAACGATTGGAGTAGAGAAGAGCAGAAAAATTTTCAGCTTAATTCTAAGGCTATACATATTCTATTATGTGCTTTAGGCCCAAATGAATATGGAAGAATATCATATTGTTCCAGTACCAAAGAGATTTGGGATAAGCTCCAAGTTACTCATGAAGGAACCGACGAAGTGAGGGAATCAAAGAAAAGTCTTCTCAACCATAGCTACGAGAACTTCAAGATGAAACCCAATGAAGACATCAAAGCTATGACGGATAGATTTTCTGTGATTGTCAACGGTCTCAAGGGATATGGAGAAGTAATCCCAAATAAGAAGCTTGTGAGGAAGATGATCTACTCTCTTCCCAAGGAGTGGCAATCGAAGAAGACGACCATTATCAAAGCAAGAAATTTAAAGTCTCTCACTCTCGACGAGCTAATTGGTTCCCTTCTCACTCATGAGATGATGGTGAAGGAAGATGAAGAAAGGGAAGAGAAAAGAAGAAGAATAAGAAGAAGAAGAATGAGGAGGTAGACATTGCCTTCAAATCCACCAATGAAAGCTATCAAGATTCAAGTGATGAGGTGGATGAAGATGATGATGAACAAGAAGAAGAGATGGTTAATCTCTTGAAGGAACTCAAGAGATTCATGATTTCCAAGGAAGTGAAACATGAATCAACCAAGAAGAAGAGTCCCCCGGTTTGCTTCAATTGTTAAAGAAAGGGG